ACTTTATTTAAAAAACAAACATAATATATATGCAGAGAAAATGAAATATTGACATTGCACCACAATCACATAATTTGCCTCCAAGGTGAATGAAACCCCAAAATATTTCTCTCAGCAGAATTCCATCAGATCTACAACACAAACATGTTTTATACATTTCATTTCAACACACATTTGCCTTGTATTGGTAACAATCTCCTCCTATACCTTCTTTACTCTGTCAAAAAAGATAAAAAGAAAGAAGGAAAGGGAAAAAGGAAGAGGGGAGTGTATAGAGAGAGAGGAGAGAGAGGAGGTCGACAGAGAGAGAGGAGAGAGTATGGCAGGGGAGAGACAGACACAGGGTTAAGGTGGAGAGCCTGAAAGAATGGATGGAGAGTGGGAGAAGGAAAGAAGGAAGAGGTATGGGCTAGAAATAGGGATAGGTAAAGAGAGAGAGTGAGGGAGGGATAATGATAGGGTTAAGATTAAGAAAAAAAATAAAGGATGGATAGGGAGGGGGAGAAGGAAAGAGGGAAGGAGGAAAGTGAAAAGACAAGCACCGACCTCAACAACTTGCTGAGCACTTTTAGCAATACTAGTAGATGTTGTGAACTGCACATCACATCAGACACAGGGCACAGCGCTCACTGCCTGCAGCACTCAGGTTGGGGATTACTCTAATACACAGTCATTGGCTCTCCAGCTGCTGACCCCCAAACCTGGTACTTCTGGGGGAACAGCAGCTGAAGAGTCACAGAAGATGACCCCTCACTGAGCTGATCCATCAAGGCAAGAAGCTGCTAAGACATCATCCCTGTTTAGTCCTTTTAACCCTTCTTAGCCTTGTCTTGCGCCCACAACCTCTACATAGAGCCTGCCCCTACTGCCCACACCACCCAGTGTTGGAACACAGAGGTAACACGCTCTAGGGTTTCTCCTGGTGCTCCCAGGGCATGGGGTCATTGTCCTCCCCGGCGGTGGTGTTCCTGCGATCCTGCCAGAAGTGCTCTACATCTGGGAGGACCTTCTCCTCGCTTTTGGAATCCTGAGAAAGTCTGTGGGCAGACAATGGGCACTGGAAGTCCTGCAAAGACTGGATGGTACTGGGCACCATGTCCGCTCCATTCTCCCCTGCCCTGGACGCTCCCCCTCCATCCTGGCACTTCTCACACTTCATCAGAGTCCAAATGGTCTTGAAGCCATCTCTAAACTCCTCAGACACGGCCAGAAACACCCCGGGATTGAGAGTGGAGTTCAAGAACAGGATGACCTGAGCCAAGACCATGAGGGTATTGGGCGGCTGTAGGATACCATAGTTGGTGTGCCTCGCCCAGATCCACACAATCCACTCTGGTAGCCACATGGCTTCAAATGCCAAGCTCATACTCATCAGCATGGAGGTGATCTTCCTGCTCTGAACGCGGGGGTTAGGCACACGGTTCCTCCTTTCTTTCCTCCTCAGCGCTCTCATGTAGCAGAAGAAGGTGAAGACCATGGGCAGGACGTAAGCCAGCAAGGGGTACAACTTGCTGAAGACGTTCATAAAGTTGGAGGCATGTTCTGGCACATCAAAGGAGCAGGTCAACCCCTCCTGCGTCATCCTGACCTGGGTGAGAATCAGATGCGGCAGGGGCAGCAGGAGGGACAAGGACCAGGTGAAGAGAAGGACCACCACCACGTGCCTCTTGCTGAAGCTGAGGAACTTGGGTGGGGTGATGACATGCTTGTAGCGGGCTTGTCCTATGGCTGCCAGGGTCAGGCTTTTCACGGTAAGGCAGCTCTGTAGGAACCACCCGGTGGTCTTGCAGACAAAACTCCCAAAGAGCCAAGACTGCTTGGCATAGGTGACAATGCGCACCGGGATGCAGAAGAGGATGAGCAGCAGGTCGGTGATGCCCAGGTTGATGACCAGGCAGTTGACCACTGAACACTTCCCTTTCCTGAAATCGTGGATGAGGATGGCAATGAGAAATAAGTTTCCAACTAAGCCCACCAGGCAGATGGTGCTCAGGAACAAAGGCAGCACCACCGTGATCTCCATGCCCACCTCTGGGGGGTCCAACCCGCTGGAGAGAGCCATGGGTTCTGAGCTGTTCATGGTCCTGAAGGAGACGCTGGTCATCATGAACAGGGATGGTTCCTAGAGCCACCTAGTCATTCAGAATCGACTTCAGGTGGTCCTTGCACTTCAAAGGCTTCCCAGGACCACCACCTCTCGCTTCAGTTTCAGTCCAGTTGCATGTGGTCGCCTGTTGAGCGCTCAGAGGAAAACACTTGTGGAGCGGAGCTGCGTCCTGTCCCCGGTGCTGTCCATCTGATGTGGTGCTGAATCTTCTCTCCTCGTCTAGTTGTGATAAAGAGAGGCGTGGAAAGTACACATAGCACCAGGCACAGCCACCCTCCCCTCTCCTGCCTCCCCGTTAATGTCAGTTCATCCCCCCTCATTTCCTAAAGTCATCCTGCACAACTGTGGCTGGCACTGGAGCCCTGGCACTGCCAGCTGTGATCTGCCCTGGGCTTCTTTAGCTTTGCAGCCACTTAGTTAGCAGGCAGAGACAGGCTGTGGGGTGACTGGTGAGTGGGTTCTCAGGGTGATTGTGTCCCATTAGGGTTACTGTCACCTGTGGCATCATGCCAGTGCTCTGCTAGACTTGGTGTGCTGCTGCCCAGCTAATATGGGACTAAAACCTTCCACCTAGCTGTGACAGAAAGGCTGGAAAGACACCCCCACCACATGTCATGTGGCACTTGTTGTTCATTTAATGTGTAAGGCTGGGTTATGGCTTGTACTCCACCTAATGTACCTGGTCAGGGTGGAATTTGTAGTTCATGTGATGCAAAAGGTCAGACTGTGACTTGTAGTTGATTTGATGTATCTAATAAAACGAGGGCATATTGTCTATCTTCCAGGTGAGGCTTGTATTTGTAGTTCCCCTCATATATGAGGTGGTTTGTATTTCCTCCTATGTCTCATGACAGGTTAGGGCTTGTAGTTCCTCTCCAGGTTGTAGTTCCACTTCAGTGTCAGATGAGGCTGAGAGTCAGGCTGGGGGTTGTAGTTCTTAGTGTAACTTGTCATCAGTGTCAGGTCAGGCTGGGGGTTGTAGTTCCTCTCCAGTGTCAGGTCAGGCTCAGGGTTGTAGTTCCTCTCCAGTGTCAGGTCAGGCTGGGGGTTGTAGTTCCTCTTCAGTGTCAGTCGATCCAGTAATTTATAGTTCCTATATTGTGCTGTTAGATTGGGGGGTTTATATCCTTTCTAATATCAGTCAGGTTGGGGGTTGTAATCCCTCTACATTATTAGTTGGGAGTTGTATTTCCTCACCTGTGTCAGTCAGTGTGGGGGTTGTTGTTGCTCTACTGTGTCCGCCAGGCTGGTGGTTTTACTTCCTTTCCAGTTAAGCTGGGATTGTGAATCCTGTCCTGTGTCAATTAGATCGGGGGTTGTAGTTTCTCTCCTCTGTCAGCAAGGCTGGGTATATTAGTTCCCTTTCAGGGTCAATCAGGCTGGAGTTGTAAATCCTCTGCAATGTCAGTAAGTCACTGTTACAGATAGGATAGCCTATGGTGGACGCAGTCACTGTTACAGATAGGATACCCTATGGTAGATGCAGTGACTGTTACAGACAGGACAGACTATGGTGGCTGCAGTCACTGTTACAGATAGGATAGCCTATAGAGGATACATTCACTGTTACAGATAGGATAGCCTATAGTGGATACAGGCACTGTTACAGATAGTGGAGCCCATGGTGGACACAGGCACTGTTACAGATAGGGGAGCCCATGATGGATACAGTTACTGGTACAATCAGGATAGCCTATGGTGGATACAGTAACTGGTACAGATGGGATTGCTTATAGTGGATACAGTCACTTCTACAGACATGATAGACTATTGTGGATACAGGCACTATTACAGATAGGATAGCCTATGGTGGACACAGTCTCTGTTAGATAGGATAGCCTATGGGGATAAAGGCACAGTTACAGATAGGATAACATATGGTAGATACAGTCAGTGGTACAGATAGGATAGCTTATTTTGGATACAATCACTGTTACAGATAGGATAGCCTAAGGTGTATACAGTAACTGTTACAGATAGGATAGCATAAGGTGGATACAGTAACTGTTACAGATAGGATAGCATAAGGTGGATACAGTAACTGTTACAGATAGGATAACCTGTGATGGGTTGACTGTGTTACATATAGGATAGCAGTGAGTGTCTGGTAGGTCACTGTCATAGAAACATATCTTGGAAGGAAGACTGGTCAGTCTCTGTGCTATCTTTCAGTGGTATCCTTTTATCTATTTGTGACCTAAACATGGAAATGAGCACCAGAGACAGACACCCCCCTACCCCGTAGACAAAATAATAAAGTCACCGGCACTTTTGACCCTACCCCATAGAGTCACCAGGCACAGCCTTTTACTGGCACCCGGTACCCATAAATGACACGATAGTATCTGGGTAAAGGGATGGCAGCAAGGGTGGCACTCATGTAGGGAAGAGAAGTCTCAGTGTTGGGTGCCCTCATTTCCTCAGAATGGACACCTTTAGCGGTTACTCTTCTGGGAACTCACATTGACACATGTCTTTCGGCAGGTGTGACAGTGGTAAGCACTAATTCTGCACCATGGTCTCTAGGCTACCTAATGCACTTCTGGGTTTTATGTAACTGTTCAGGAAAGTCAGAAATGTCCCAGCTGGGTGCAATGTAGAAGACTCTCATCAGCCCACCACTGTCCATCTCATGTGGTGCTGAAACCTTCCCATCTAGCTGTGACAAAGCCATGGTGGTGAATTAGTAGAATAGGATTAGGGCCACCTTTCCCTCTCCTTCGTCCTGGTAACTGCCTATCTCCCTCTCTATTTCAGAAAGTCATCTTCAGTTGATTTCAGTGTTGGACTTTGTCTCCTGGATGCCACAAATGAGATGCCAATGTGTGTTCATTAGGTGATACCATTGCAACACACAGTAACTACTTAGTTTACTTCCCACTGACTGTGAATCGACTGGTGGTGGGGGGGAGGGGGGATTTGGGGGGCTGATCTCCTGGTGGGTATTGTAAGTGTGATAATGTCAGTGCTCTGGTAAAGGGAGTCACATCTATCCATAGAGCTGAAATTGGCTCTCTGTATGTGCAATGCATAATGGAGACAGAAGCTTGGAATGACATCAGTCTCCCCAACAATATCTGGTCAGCCCACTTCATCTCATACAGCCTCTTAGAGAAGGTTGGGCACCCCTGTTCAAGTTACAGCACGCACACTAGGCAGGAGCACAATTTGGAGGCAGGAGCTGAGCATTATAACCTGATAACAGCATGTGGTGAAGAGCAAACTGGCCAGGGTTTGGTTCACTTGGACACTTGCTGGAACCAGCCAGAAATTGTGGTTCGTTGATGGTTCGAGCAAACCAAACCCTTTGCCGCCTGTGTCCTAGCAACCAATGATGGCATTCGGTGGAACCAGACAAATTGTTTGCTGATTCAGCAAACTGTGAACACCTTGGGTATTGGTGAATATCATGGCCAAGCCAAACCAAAAGCTCATTACTAACAGAAAATGCATAAACAAGGACCTTCATGGTGGGATCACCAGGAATTATTCTAATAAAAGGTTATAGATTTTATTGCTCAAGTCTACACCTCAAAGCTGAATTCTGGGATCAGCGAATATTGTCCTCATACAAGAGCCATGTGTATTATTCCTTGAATCTTGGTGAGCTTTGCGTTTTTGTTTCAGATCTGTGCAATAATCCAGTGTGACACTGGAGCTTTCTGTAATAAAGACCGCTCACTGCTGTTCTCTCTCTCTCCTTGTGGAGGGTGACTGGTCTTGTCTCCGCCCCCTCCTGTAATAAAGACCGCTCACTGCTGCTCTCTCTCCTTGTGCAGGGTGACTGGTCTTGTCTCCGCCCCCTCCTGTAATAAAGACCGCTCACTGCTGCTTTCTTTCCTTGTACAGGGTGACTGGTCTTGTCTCTGCCCCCCTCCTGTAATAAAGAATGGTCACTGCTGCCCTCTATCCTTGTGCAGGGTGACTGGTCTTTTCTCCACCCTCTCCTGTAATAAAGACCGGTCAGTGCTACTCTCTCTCCTTGTGCAGAGTGACTGGTCTTGTCTCTGTCCCCTCCTGTAATGAAAGACCGGTCACTGCTGCTCTTGCTCCTTGTGCAGGGTGACTGATCTCGTCTCCGTACCCTCCTGTAATAAAGACCACTCACTGCTGCTCTCTCCTTGTGCAGGGTGACTGGTCTTGTCTCCGCCCATTCTGTAATAAAGACCGCTCACTGCTGCTCTCTCTTCTACTGCAGAGTGACTGGTTTGTCTCTGCCCCTCCTGTAATAAAGTCCAGTCACTGCTGCTCTCTCTCTCCTTGTGCAGGGTGACTGGTCCTGTCTCTGCCCCTCCTGTAATTTTCTACAGGCTGCCTTTAGTGGGTGGGGCCTGTAGAAAATCCACAGGCTATGTATGGCACAGTGATGATGTCACTGCTACTTACAAAGTAATAACTCAGTTTGTAAAGGCATTTAATGCACACAAAGTGTATTTCTATCCTTTGTGGCTACTGAGGAATTTAGTTACATTAAAGTTTTTGTGTCCGTAGTTCAGCTTAAAGGAGAACTATGGGGTCAGGGCTTTTCCCCATAGTTCTCCTAAGGGTAACGGGAGGACACAAACTAGCGTCCTCCCGTCACCCTAGGCTCAGTATACCGCGAGCTACGGCTCTCGGTATACTGAGACGCCGCAGCTGAAGTGGATCCCGACACTTGTGCCGGGATCCGCCCAGCTGCTTGACTGACAGCTGGCTCTGCCTATGGCTCTGCCTATCTAGAGGCAGAGCCAGCTGTACCCGCCCCCTCCCAGTCAGCGCTGGCGGATCGGAGCGGGGAGGGGGGAATCCAGCCCCTCCCCTGTCACGGCAGAGAGCCGTGACAGGATTGAGAATTGCCATGAATACATTCCTGCTAATGTTACCCTAGGGCGGCATAAGAAGCTGCGCTCCTCACGGCACACCAAAAACAAAATGGAGTAAACAGCATGATAACAGCAGCATACTGTGCAAATATTATTCATAGACAGGTACATAGCGCTAATTACCTAGACAGGGAGCGAATTTCCAGCCCGCCTCTGATAAGTTATTACAATCACATAGACTTACATCATTGCATTTCAGTAGCA